TGAATTCATTCATCTTCTGGCATCTACAGTTCGAAATCAACTAATAAACGATATCAAAAGAAATAAATATGTATTATGGACTTTTGTTTGATTCAATTCCTGATATCTCTCATCGAGAACAAATGTCCCAAGTCGCTAGGTATGTAGATGCTGATTTTATCAATAAAAAAGTTTCCATCAAAGAATCTTTTTTGAGTTTTATTGAAATACATGCTAAAGATGCAGCCTGGATCGAAATTACAATTTTAGAGAAATTAAATTACGATGAAATTTCATTAACTAACTGCAGATCACAATGTTACGATAATGCTGACGTGATGGCAGGTCACACATCTGAAACGCGATGGAGCGCCAGAATACAAGCGGTTATCGTTATCATCTATGGGCTAGAGAATATAAAAGAACTAATAGAAAAATTAGCAGCGAACACTACCACTACAAGTGACAACAGAAGTGAAGCTACAATTCTGTTGCAAAATATACTAACCTTTAGTTTTATAACTTTAGTTCATTTCTGGTATGATATCTTAAGAAGTTTTGATCGTGTGCAGCTCAGATTACAAGATCCTAGAATGAATTTTAGAGAAGTGTTCCATGATCTTGAATCATTAGCGACTGAACTAGCCGAAATTTGAGACAAGCTCTGTAAAGAGGCAATAGAAAAAGCAGAGTCTCTTTGTGAAAAATGGGATATGGATACAACAATACGTGCCTGGAGAATTGGCTATGGTGGGCTTTCCGCAGAAAGTGAAATTTCTCGCATTATGAAAAGCACTCTTGATGGTCTCCAACAAGAAATGTGTACACGATTAAGTGACCTTAATTTCAAATTTGGATTTCTACTAGACGTTGAAAATTTATTAAACAAGGATAATGTTGATAACGACCTTGAAAAAAAATTTTAAAAATCTGGGTGAATTTTACAATACAGATTTCAATGTAATAGAACTTTTTATCAAAATATGTGACAGCAAAATGCTACTCCGCAGTAGAAAAGAAATTAAACCTAAAACTCCATTAGAATTTCTTACTTTTATAATCAATCTCGAATGGAGAAGATGTTTTTCCAAATCTGAGAGCGGCATTTCAAATACTCCTGACTATCTCAGTATCAATTGCTAGCTGCGAACGTTCATTCAGCAAATCAAAATTAATTTTGACAGATCGCCTAAGTGACCTAGCATTTTTAAGTGTGGAAAAAGAAAAATTTTAAATGAACAATTTTGATGATATTATTGATACATTTGCTTCATCAAAAGCACGGAAAATGTAGAGATAGTAATTAGTTTTATTAATGTATTATAATCATATGATTATTAAACATATGCATCCCCTTAGACATAGTAAATATTTACTTTCTTATTGTTTTAAAACTGCGTGTTTTTAAAATATTTCTTTATAAATATGTAAAATAAGTAATAGGTATCTTTTGAACTAATTCTAGATGATCATATACATTTCAAAATCTAGTCTTGTTCTCTCAACTACATTTTGTGTCTCAAATTTAAAGCCTAGCTTGAGTCTATGATTTTATTTATTTTACTTTATTTATTTATTAATTTGCGAGTATATTTTGCATATAATATTATATGGTTTTTGAATGGGGGGCGCTAAAAGGGTATTGTGCCCCGGGCGCGAGTTAAGCTCGCTACGCCACTGCGTTTACCAAATAAGAATATGGAAAAAATGAGATAAAAGTTCGAAATAATTTAAAAAAAATAAAATAAAAGGTGTCATAAGTGTTGAAGCATATTTAATCGGATTTGTAAATCGCCCTCCGGAAACCAAATTTTATATAGTTCGTTCACCAGAAGTTGGCACTTGGCTCCGCCTTCGTTACGTGGTATCGGGCGATATTATTTCGTTATTTTTGGGAGAAGGATGCGAACAATCCTGAACAAGGTAGTTGACAAAAATATTTATCCTTACGTGCATTTTTTCACATTGAATATTTCATAAATTTTATGGTATTTCTCTCTTTTGTTTGAATAGTTTGTCCTTTTTCAAAAAAGTTTTGCTGAGAAAACAGCATTTTTAAATTTAAAATATCTATAATTATCTTGAGTAACGAAAGGTATAATAGCAGATGATAGAGCGAAGTAAGTGACTGATAAAGAATTCACTGTTTGCGGTTGGTGTGCATTAAGGGTTGTCTCAATTTCAAGGGCGGTGATGTTTTTCCGCTGAAATAAACTTTTCGTCCGAGGAGGTAGAGCCAAGTGTCAACTCCTGTTGAGCGTACTATACATAATTTCCATGGAATAATGCTTGGCAATTTTTGTATTTAGTCTTTATGTGAAAATGAAACTTTTAATCAGCCATCAACTTAGCTCGATATAATATTTTTAGTAAAAAAAAAATTATTTTGAAAGAAAAGTAATTTCTAGATTTTGTGAAAGGGGTTCTTGTGTTTTCATTGTTTTCTCTTTAAGTTTAAATTCAAATTCAGTTATCCGGGGATCAGTGGCGGATCCAGCGAGGAGTCATAATGGGCCATGACCACCTCCCCAAATCGAAAAAAAATAATAATTTTTTTTTATTAGTTTGCAAATGAAATAAAATATTTGAAAAATTATTTAAGGGGGCATATACACCTAGGTAGGCAAATCAAGAACGATTAAATGGACTCGCATTGTTAAACATTTATCGAGAAACTGATTTGGATTTGAGGCTAGACCCCCCCCCCCAGGAAAAATTTCTGGATCCGCCCCTGCTGTGGATCCTATTAAATCTTTACCCACTTAGTTATTGCTTTTAATGTTAACATCTGGGATACCTTATTTGTTAGTAAAGTAAACAAAACTAAACTGGAGAGCAGATTAATAAATATTTATGAAAATTTATTACAAACCTGAAGCTAAGATCTAGTTCAAAATTTCAACTCAAAATTATTAACAAAAATAAGGAAAAAAGAAGAGAACATATATATAAGCACTTAATAGGACTCATGAAAAAAAAAACTTGAGAAATATTCTCTAGGTGGAATTCTGAAAACAACGCCAAGGAAAGAATTTCTTTTGTATTTGGCTATCATCCAATTCGTCACAAAGTTTTGTTTTTTTTCAGCCACAAAATCCTGTTCCATCCTTTGTTTCTGACACTCTGTTAGCTGAAGATAGGTGACCTCAATTTTTCTGTGGATCATAGTATATGAGTACTAATAACGAATATTAAGGTATGGAAAAACTTTATTATCATATTTTTTCAATGGTTTTTAGATGAGCAAGGATGACTCAGGGGATAGAGCATTCGCCTTCCAATGAGTGAACCGGGTTTGAATCCTAGCGATAGTTGTCCAATACGGATTCCGCATCCGGCTTGCATCAACCACAGTGCTGACGTGAAATATCCTCAGTGGTAGACAGATCATGGGTTAGAGTCCCCTTGTCGTCAGGCACACCGTTGGAGGTTCTCGTGTTCTTCCTCTCCATGTAACGCGAATGCGGGGTAGTTCCATCAGCAGTCCACGAAGGCAAATTTCTCCTAGCACTTAAACCGGGAGTTCCCTTGTCTTCTGGATTGGGCTCAAAATTACAAGGCTACGGAGTTGAACATTAGTAGTCGTAAACCCGAAAATTGGGATTGCTGTTCAACGACGGTTATAGAATATAAAATGAAATAAAGTACTTTTTGTATCATAGGTCATGGATTAGAGTCCCCTTGCTATCAAGCTAACCGTGGGATATTTTCATCGTTTTCCTTTCCAAATACGGAAAATACGGGTTAGTTCAATCAGAAAGTCCTCCACGAAGGCAAATTTTTCCCAATGCTTTATCCAGCAATTCCCTTGTCTTCTGGATTGGGTTCAAAAATTAAAAGGCTACGATGTTGAACATTGGTAGCCGAAAATCCTAAATTGGGTCAGCTGTTCCACGACGGTTATAAAATAAAATGAATTTTTTATTATATGAACCTTGGTTACTCATGGGATAGAGCGCTCACCCAATGAGGTGATTCGGGTTCGAATCCCAGCAATGACTGGTTAATATGACTTCCGCACCCGGCTCGCACCGACCACAATGCTAGCGTAAAATATCATCAGTCGTAGACTAATTGTGGGTTAGAGTCAACTTGCTATCTGGTTAACCGTGAGAGGTCTTCGTGATTTTTCTCCTCCATGCAACGCAAATGCTGATAAGTCCTTCTCGAAGGCAAATTTCTCCCAATACTTGATCCACGAGTTCCCTTGTCTTTTGTATTGGGTTCAAAAATTAAAAGGCTACGGAGATGATTGGGTTGGCTGTTCAACGACGGTTATAAAATGAAAACATTATTTTATTGGAAAATTGATTGCAATGTTGAGAAAATTATTTGTCTTTAAACTTATAGTACATGAAACTCACCGCTAAAAATGTTCAGAAAAGAAAAGTGTAAAAAAAAAGTAATTAATAATGAATGAAAAGTAGAGCGACGGCTGTCAGTGTCGCCAAACAATTTAAGAGACTGGTCTAACGTTTTGAAAATGAGTTTGAGGTCTTCGATCTTATTCGAAACAAGAAGATCCTCCAGAGTTGATTCCTGACAACAATTGAGTTGATTTGATGATTTCTTCTTCAATAGAGGAGGAGGAGACAAGAATTCCAGGGGGAAAAAAATCTTTATTTGATCAAGCTCTATATTTTAACCGTCCGGCAGCTGCCGTTATAAATAACGAAACAAAAAGCATTTCTCAAAACTTAATATTTTTCTTTTATACACCTCTTCCTAATGCTTCCTTCCTCCTGCATTTTTTATTTATTTATTATTTTTCGATCCCTCCTCTATCGAATGTTGCCAATTCCTTTTATTAAAAAAAAAGAGTATATTATTTCCAATTCTTTGGATTTTTATACTTTTGTATGAAGAGTTTTTTTTCTTATTATTTTCTGATTTTTTTTTTATAAGAGCATCAATTTCATTGTTCTGACATGTATATACAGTCTCTGGAAAAATTATAAGCCACACTCTAAGATTCTACGTACAATCTTAATTACAGGTGATACTCTATACAGCTTTATTGTTTTTACTCGACTGTTTGCACTTGCTTATGTTCGTGTATCAATTGGTTAAATTAGAAAATATATAATATAAATTCGGCGATTAAATAAATTAGACGATATATTATATAAATATAGAATATTTTTTTATGTCAGCTATTATATTAGTATATTTTAATAATTAGACCAAATCATTAGACGCACTGTAGCTTTTTAACAATGACATGTTTTGCACGAGTTTATATGTGCAATGCTTTTATATTTAAGCATACATGTAATGGGTTCTTATACAGGGGATTTTTTTACATACTTCCAATTTGTATTTATTTTTAACCTATTTCATTTATGTTACCTATTTCATTACACAACTAAAAAATTACGATCCACATACGGGGATAGCCTGGTTGGTAGGGCACCGTGCCCATGTTCAAGAGGCGCGGGTTCGATCCCCGTCGGCTGAAAATGAAGAAGATGACACTGCGTTCGGGCTACGGGGGAAATTTCCATATTGTGATCTGTGGCAGAATAATCGCCAAGTTTTTGAAACTTCCGGGCAGTGGCCGACAAGAAACTTTAAAAAAAAAAAGAAAAAAAATTACAGAAAGGAACTAACTCGAAAATTATAACTTGTAGCCACCCCAAGGCAAACATCCAATTGTAATTTTTTTTTCTAAATTTGCAAGTTTAAATTGTATTTGGCACCTTGGCGATTGTAGTTGGCACTCCAAATCACGATACGGAAATATCTCAGGGCTACTAAACTGCGCCGTGATGGTGAATACGAAAAATTTCATTACGTTTGGACTACTGAAGGGGAATTTGGAGATAGATAGTTAAGCTATATTATAGTTTAACATAATCTAGTTTAACATAATATAGTTCTACAAATTTAAATTCCATGCAACCCCTATTTATAGATGAAATTTTAATTTTATTTCATAACCGTCTATGAGCAGCCGACCTCATTTTGAGTTAGTGACTATCGATGATGAACTCTGTAGCCTTGTAATTTTATATCCAAACCAGAAGACAAGGGTACTCCTGAATCAGTATTGTGAGAAATCACCCTTCGTGGAGGACTTTCTGATAAAACTATTCCACAATTGCGTTGCGTTAAATGAAAAACCTCCCATGGTTAGCTCGTCGGCAAGGCGATTCCAACCCATGATCCATCTACGACTTAGGATATATTACTTCAGCACTGTGGGGAATAGAGGCGAGCTCTCTATTCTCTGAAATAAGATAAACTTTAAAAGAATCTAGAAAAGAAGTAACTAGAACAACTTCATAACGGAAATTAGATTTTGTTAATATTTATGCAGAAAGTTCTAGAAGGGTACACTATAGGAAAACATCTGAGACAGAAGATTAACTTGGAATTTGCATAGAGTTTTGGATAAAAAAAAATAACTCAAAAGTTCAAATCACTAAAATAATAAATATTTTATCATAAATAAATTCTGCTAAATCAGCTTAGTTTTATAATAAATTAAAAAATTATAGTTAATTATTCTGTTATTACTCTTTTTAGTTTTCTGTGCATTTAAACACTGAATTTGGTATATTAAATTCACCTTGCCCGTTTCGGTTCCATTTTTAGCTCTTAAAAATCAATTAGTTATTTTTATGTTAATCCGTTCAATTATTTAGCTTGATATTTCAACTCTATAGCTTGAATTGCATTCTCTGAAATGCAAACTTGCGTCTTTTATCAAAGTAAAACAAATAAAAAAAAAGACTGTTTAATGATTATTTTGAAATGATTACTTTAACAATTAGAAAGAAAATACGATTCACTATAAAATGAAGAAAATTGTGATGGCCTTGCTGCGATCACAGGTTACCCATTAGCAAAATGGTTGTAGTCTAATTTTTTTGGAAAAGAAACTTTATTGTGTTTTCACTGTAACTGTTAATCCTAAACTAACTTTAACTGTTAATCCTAACAGCTTAGTGCACAATTTCGCGGACATTTTTCAATGCAGCTCAGACATATTCTGTGTAAATTCTTTAGTTGACTGAATAGACATTGAACAGCCAATCGAGATCAATAGTAACATTTTCTGATGGGTACTTTGGTGTTTGATGGAGATTGTAAGCTGCATCATACACCCGTTTCGGATTCACAAGTTCATACATGAAACATGATTTGAAAACTATGATTTTTTCAATTTTACAAGAATAGTGAATGAATCATTTATATTGCGTGGAAGACAGTCTACTGTCTTGTGCAAGTCATTGGGTATGTTGAAAATGGATCCTTTTATCCCTAACGGTTGATCAACAAGCATGTTCTCGTATTTGCATGAAAGGGGTTCGGAGAGTCCCCATTCGCTCTTCTGTAGGGTTCAATTCTCTCAACCACTTTGGTACTTTTGTGAGGGACGGGTTTCATGCTTGCGTTTGAGAACGGAATCCTTCAGTTTTTCCGTTTGTATGCAATGCTTAAGGTAGTATTCTCGTCAATTCAGCCCCGGCAAGTTTAGGCCTTGACATCGTTTTTTTTTCTTGCATCAGCTCTACCTTTTTAGACCGTGTCAATCAGTTTGGAACCTCCTAATTTGAGATATTTACCTGAATTAGTATTGAAAATGATCCAGTTGGAACTGTAGGTTAGAATTTCTGATTCTTAATTAAAGCAATAAGAACAAAAGTATCGTTCAAATGATGAAATTCTCTTTTATTCACAACTCAAGAAGTATTTACCAGAAGTATTTACTCTCTGGTCCCATATCTCAAAAATAAACTCACCAACCTAATGCATAGCAAAATTAAATGTGGAAAAAAGCGAATTCTAAAAAAATTATCAAACAGCAGCGGTCGCCATAGCAAGGCATGCGCACTGTTTACTATTACTCTAGTTTATTGTAGTTGAAAAGTGAGGACGCCATGAAATCCAAACCAATACCCATTTTGTTAATTGGTAATAAAAGTTCTAAAAGGAACAAAATATCTAAAATGAAAGCGGTAGAGAAAGAAAATATGTATGATGAACAACGAATAGTTGGAATGTATTTTTTCTTCTAAACTTTAAAACACAGTTGTTTGAGGTACTTGTGGTTTATTCCATAAAGAATCCTTTCAAATTGATTCAGTCACAAGATATAATTAAAGGATAGAAGAATGGAGTCCCTCTTTGTGTACATTGAAAGAGACTGACAGGAGCTTTAAATAAAGACAAATTAACATTTGAAAGAAC